TTCAACATCGAATCAAACGGGTTGCCAGGAGATTTTCTCACTCCTTGCTGTAATAGGTCATCCATTTGCACATCTTCAGTCTTACGGAATGGATTCATTGACGTCATAGGTTGTTCGATATGGGAACTGTCGTAACCTTGGAGATAACAGTGTCCTTCAATGTTATCATTTAAGATTTCTACCTCGCCATGTGATTCATTAGTGTTCTCCTTCAGTTCTTCGTCGCCACTTTCGATCGGAGGTTGAAAACTTGCCGTCAACGTGTCCAGGTAAATATCACATCTTTGTTTTGGTGTTAGTCCGTCATTTATCGGAGGGCGGGTTTGTTGTATTTCATTCAGTTTCGAGTCAAACGGGTTGCCGGGAGATTTTTTCACACCATATTGTAATCGGCCATCTCTTTTTCCATCTTCAGACTTACGGAATGGGTTTAATGACGTCTTAACGGGGAATGGTTTGGTATCGGGGTCGTCGTAACTTTGTAAACAACGATATTCATTAATGTTATTGTTTAAAATGTCTACCTCGCTACCTGAGTCATTGGTGCATTGTTCCGCCTCTTTCTTAATTCCACCGTCGACTCCAATCAGCTGAGGGCAACTTTTGTTAGAACTTGAAGATTCCTGATGACGGTGTCTCCGAGTTGTCAGAGTGACTAACTTTCTGTCTTCGGAAACGGTGTTCGCAACAACTTTATGTTGGATATCTATAATCTCGACTTGGTAACTATTTTCACCGGCGGCCAGAAGTTGAACAGGTTTGATTCCATGTTTTTTTACTTGTTCCTTGTCATAACTCGTATCCTCGTCTTGCATCTGAATACAGTGTTGCATTCTGCGAAGGAGAATACATTAAACAAATTGTAAAAACATCTTCGTGGAAATCCTGTTTTCATCTGAAAAGTGTTCAAATTGTATTTCTGTCAATATCGTGACATTGTTTATACGATTTGTATTTGTATATTGTCATTACCTTGACAACTGATATTACAGGTGACATGTTTACTGCCTAAAAATAAAGCACGTTCATATGTACATGGCTACTTACCGAGCCATATCGCGTATAACCACTGAATCAACTGGGCACAGCGTCCCTCGTCTAGATCTATTGTACAGTACATGAGTTGAAATAATTCCTAGGGCAAACATTATGATAAATCACTAATTAGGTGAGTAAAACAAGTAACGAGACGGCCGCCGACACCGAAGCGTTATTCTCGACTTGAGCGTAAATAGTGAAATGTTCTATACCCCACTCCCATTGTCAAGCACTGAACAATGAAACGCGTTCGATTAAATCACGTGACTTAACTTTGCGCCACTCACAGGCGAGCTGTCACCGCGCTGCGCATTCTACAAGTCGATGCTTGGTGAATGCGTACTGCGTAGACAATCGGACGCCGGAACAACCCCGTTCCAGTCACATTCTTTTTACTGAAAACAGACAATAACATATTGTATTTCGGTTAAAAACGCAGACGGAGCTTCGACATCGACTTTTGCTGAGAATTTCGGCTCCAATTTCGAGATTTTACTGGTAAACGTTGTCCTGACAAATTTTTGAAAATGTTGAATTTTGACATTGGATCGCTAAACTTTTAGTGGTCTGAGGTTTGATTCGGTGATCTTTTCCTATGTTCGCGTCCTTGGCTCTTGATCAGTTTCATGATGTTCATATGTTCAATTGCTTGTGTACATTAAAAGAGAAGTTTCCAGCATGCCACAATATGCGACCGTCCACATTTACTGTGATATATGTCAAAAAACAACTTGAATCTGTGATACGTGAAGTGAAAAACGATTCATAGTACTGTAAAATGCTCACTTTTTTACTTGGAATTTAATTCCACTCAATATGTGAATCATGTTTTATTTATGTCGTAAGAGAAAGCGTTGTCTTAGCCGCAGGTAGCCTGACAAGGTCACGTGATTTGCGTCCTCTGCGGTGCTCCAAACCCAACAAACAGTGGGGTATGATGCCGTTAGGCCGGCGAGGGCGCCACTCACGCCTACATGTCTAGGTCAAACGGAACTTATTGTTTGTAAGATGAAACAGTGAGCTGTTGATGCACATGTGTCTTGCTTAAGGTAGAGATGTAGTTTATTTGGCTTGCTTTTTAATTGAGTAATTAGACAATGCAGATGGTATTATATATCCAAAAAGCTTATTATACAAACTTTGTAAAACTTGTCTTTATTTTGAATATCCAGATTGTGTTTTTAATTTTAGGTCAAAAATATGCTTTTGGGGGCAAAAGTGGTTTTAAAAAAATAGCTTAAAAACTTCAAGTCCGTTTGTGGGTAAAATTACATCACCGGATACCGGGGTATACTACTAATTCAAATGCGTCCACTCATCTCTCTAACGGCTTTCAAAGTCGCACAGCATTATCTCAATGTTCACTCTTTTCTATTTTTGCATAATTTATATATCTATATTAATTGCGGACTTGTTATTTTTGTTCCACTCGCCGTAATAAACTGTCCGGAAGCATTTTGAAGGGGGGCACCTTGTCAATAATGTGAGAAAATTTCAAGGCAAATGGTGTCTATAAGCTATTTTAATTTAAAACCCCATAATTCAGCAAAAATAGAAGACGAGAAAAAGGCTATTTTGCATATTTGCGCTTTCAATCGGGTATTACTGCTTTGTCATACTTCGTCAGACTTTCTAGACTATTGAAATTGAAAGTTAACGTATAGACATAGACATTTGATGTAAAATCGTTGAACCAGAACAACTGCTCTTGAATATCATTCGTACCAGTGTTTTGAAGGGGTCGGTAAAAACGGTGTGGTGGTGTATTCTAATCGTACTTAAAGGGAGTTGTTCGTCACATAGCCTATATAGCAGTGACACTATTTTGCGTCAAAATCTGTCTATAATTAAACGTATTTGTCAGTCAACGGTGTATGGATTTGTTTAATTCACTGTCAGACTGTGATGTGAAAAACACTGTCAAATAAAATGGCAATTCAGCAGCGGTTTCCTTAACAACAAAGTAAACACGTTTCGTCATTAAAAACCAAACAAAGTATTGTTTTGTATACTGTATATTGATAGTCTACTGTATGGAGCTCAGAAAAAAGTATATGTATTATCAGAGGTACAGTACTTGAGGTTTGCAACGCACATAGTACTGTATGGTGACATCATGCCAAGATCCCATTCAAGTCTCATCTCGTAGATAGCGAGACGGATGCTGCTGCCTTCAGGCATGACTTAGGCGGTTTGTAATAAAACAATAAAATATGTATTACCACATTCATAGTGAAAAAATGTAATACATCGAAAATGTACAGACAATATAGTTATCGTAATCCGTCCTATCGCGAGCAGCTATTTTGATCCACCTGGACATCCCAGTATCCTAGTTACCTCGGGCATGCGCATTCGCATTTTTCTGAGTTGGAACGCTTATGTGAGAGCGAGATTGTAACGGGATCTTGGTATCATGACACCATAGTTGCAAACCCCAAGTAATGTACCTCTGATATTATATGTTTTCGTCCATATTTACATCTTTAATGCATAATTTGTCGAACAAATACTCAGATATAGGCTACAAGAAACGTTTTTTTTTTTTTCAGTTCTTGATAAATCATAGTCCAGTGTAGCCAACAATATGCAGTACCAATCAGTACTGAAATGACATGGAAACAATTCTAAACTCATAGTTGCTGTCACGCTGTGTGGCGCGGATCGCGTGGACGGGTTTCATGTTCTCTGCACGTAATAAGCTCGGTTATTAAGCATCTTTTTTGGGGGAAGCCCGGTGGCCGAGGGGAAGACGTGTAGTGGCGTGAAGCTAGGCGATTAGATGTCGTACGCGAGCGCCGGTTCGAGTCACGCACGCAGTACGTGTTTACTATAATTAGACATAGTCTTTACCTTGCCGTTTATTCGGTGTTATTTGCTTGGTATAGTGGATGCGATTAGATACAGAATGGAACCATGGAGGCCCTGGCAAAAACAAGTCTCGAATAATAAGGTGAAAATTTCGATGATGTCTAGAGAAATTATTGTCGACAGTTTGGGTTAATTCTAGTAATCACAAAGAAAATTAGACAGTCTGGTTGCAAATAATGAATCAATTATGTGTTATAGTAAACCGCAATGATATCAGTATAAAAAATAAGTTGTTGAACTGTTATGTATGTTTTAATTAATCATATTTTATTTAACAGCTTAAATACATCAAATTTTCCCCAAAAAAATCTACGATATGATAATTAAAAAAAATCTACAAAGAGATTCCCTTCACCCTTATAATTATTTCACAATTCAAACTGAAACGAGAGGTTTCTATTGGTCGATTGAATAAAACTGCAACGTTGCAAATGACGTCGTTATGCACTGTGCTCGTTGATTGGCTGGTTGATCCAACTTCCATTGGAATTTATTAATATTTAGTAAATAAAGATGAAGGAAATGCACCAAGAGTATGAGAAAGTATTCAGCTTTAAAGTTAACTTCTGAAAGCATTCCATGCAACTACTTTACTGGGGTTTTAGCACTATTATGTCAAATTATTGAATTTGAGTGAATTGTGGAAAATATATTTAATAAACGTTCGATGTGGAGGCTACCGATCGTTTAGGCTTCCTATTTGAGAATAAGTTCGATTTTCTTTTTGCTAACAATTTTGAATAGTGCTCCAATGCACGCGATTTCAGATCATTGAATATATCACACAATAGTCCCAAGACTTCCAATAAAACCATAAAAATGCTCTCAGAGTGCAACTTTAATGCGCAATTAAGAGACTATCTGCAAATGTTTCTGAGTTGCCATGGACACACATGCAGCGAACAATGGCAAGTGTCCGTCCGAGGCAGACGTAAAACTTGCAACAATGGATTACGAATGGATGCTTTGTTTTGGCTTACATGTTCAATTGTGACAATATAACAGACATATAACAACACCAATTTTACACCAATTGTGTCGTCTTTTTCTTACGAAGCGACGTGCAAGTATTGTCCGATCTATGCCTGGTTCTACTCGTAATAAATCCCATAAACGGATGCCACGGCATATAGAGATGAATTTTCATAACTTTCTGTAGCGAAATTGTCGGTGCTCGCGTCCCAAACAGACTGGCTGGCAACTTCTAGTCCTTGGCCTTTGCGTTCACCGATAAACACGTGGCAGACAAGTTTATACCTCGCGTAGCCCTGATCTCTCACGCTCTGTTTTATCTGTTCACTGAGTTGGGTGGAGGCTACCTTTGCCGACACTGGGTTGTATCTCGTATCGGCGAGCATTAATTCCATGTTGGACTTTATAATCTTTCTTACTTTGGTGATGTCGAACTTGCAGTTGGAGTCCGGCTTCATCTTGTACGTGTTTTCATACTTAATTTGTGGACGTTGGTTGCTTTGTTGACTAGGTGCGGTCACCGCCTTCCCACCACCAGTGCCCCATATGGAACCAATTCGCGACAATCGTCGACCCGTCTGCGTCATAGCGCCCAGCGAAGCCACTGAAGCCCTTTTTCGAGAACCCTCGCCGTTGCTATTCATTGATGCGATTGACATTCTCCTATCTGTTGACACTTTCCGAATGCTCAATCGACGGCCGGGTTGTTGATGGTCGTGCAGTTGGAGTGTAGTCTTTTTCAAGGGAGGAAACGAAGCAGTGGTGGCCATGATGACGACAAGTAATGAATTCTTTGGCCGAAATCCGTTTCCTGTACAATGTCTGAAAGTATACTCTTGAAATTCAGCCACTCTTTCAAAGTTAGATTAGCAGATTATGTTCACCACCAACACAACAACAGCAGATACGACCGTAGTGATCCAGCGGTCCAGTCCCAGCTGCAATACGAACTATATCACGAACGAAGAAATAACTTGAACTTCAATAAACAACCTGCAACATCGATGAAATGGTACTTAAGAATGGTGATACAGGTTGCAAGCTTGTTTATGAGCGATTATCACACAATACCGCACTTTTCTTTTCAGTGCCAATCGATAATGTTGATGACACTATTTTTGAAACTAACCAATAGAAAATAATCGTAAAGTACGTGTTAGAACCTAACTGTTTCAATGTATCTGTCTAGTTACGTCTCGGAATATTTCTACCTGTTTCATGATTTGCTATATTGCTTATTAATGTATATTTCAAATATTTAATGTGAATGAGCTTGAACCGTAGAATTATTGATATATTTGGAACTTTTTATGTCCCAAAATTGTGACAACGTTGTGCATTACCCAGCTGCAGGGTATGGGCAGCCTGTTGTTGTCCAATTTAGTTTAGTTTATTGAAATACTTAAAATTCCTCTGAAGGAATTAAAATGATTACACTAACTGCTAAAACACAAATATAAAACATACAAATTTTAGAAAAATACTATCTATACCACGACAATGGTTTATAAAAAGTCAAGGTATTCCCACCACGGGCGTGTCAACTCATGGCGAAGCCACTCGGGCGATCGGGAAAAGGGGAATTAGACTGTAGGTAAAAGTATTCGGGGACGGAACTGAACAAATACATTTTCAAAATGAACATCGTTTGCTACTCTAAACGCAACAAAGACATTCCCTTCATCTTTATGAATATTTATTAATTTCACAATTCAAATTTACCCTGAAATGGGTTGCCATAGGTCGATTGAATAACATAGAACGTTTTAAAATGACGTCGTTGGGCACTGTGCTCGTTGATTGGCTAATTGAATTCAACTTCCATTGAATTCATTCACTGAGAATATGCTAACCTGTAATTAACAATTATGTTGGTTCGTTGCGAAGATGGTGTAACCAACATAATCGATTGGCACTGAAAGAAAACTAAGGGGTATTGTGCGGTAATCGCTCGTAAACAAGCTGGCGACCTATGGAGTATTGTCATTTGACGGTGTTAATTCTTCGTTCATGACACAGTCCATTTTGAAACCGGTACTGGACTGCTGGATCACCGTCCTCGTAGCTATTATTGCTGTGGTGATGATGGTGGTAAACATAAAAAAACATTGAATTTGAGTTTGAATTTCCAGTGTGATCTAAAAATTCATTGCTCATCACCATGGCTCCGCCCCTTTGTTTTTTACAGGTCAAAGTGATAATACAACTCAAGCTGCATAAAAATGTGTATTCATAAGTTTCAATTACATACAAAACAAAGAGAAAATTTTCATTGGAATGCTGTTCGCTGTTTAACTACGTTAGCGATAATATCGAAAAATTGAAATTCCATTTATTCCAATTACTGTGAATTGTTGTTCCACGTGCGACCAACAAAATGTTACGGTACTAAAATTTATCTGAAAATGAACTTTGCCGAACGTGATTGATAACCATTTTAAAAGCAATTCTGTATAGGCTGGTAGAAGAATTGTGAGAACTTTTATTTCCTGGTAAGTGGGTGAGATATGTCAAAATACACGAACAGGAAATGCACCACCAAAACACTAAGAAGGATTATCAATCGAGTCGACTGACTTCGGCCTTTAGAGAGAGAAAATAATTTGAATTAATTGAGAATGAAAATGAGAGCTTCTGGATCTACAAGTGTCATTTGCCACCACTGGCTGGATAGTTTGCTAAGAAAAGTAAAACAACTTACTTATAATTTTAGGTAGCAAAGGAAATCCCATGCACCTGAAAGAAATCTACATTTTAGCTGCCAAGTAATGAAGGTGTATGTACATTGCTGATTACATTTCCCCGAAAATCACAGAATTTTTAATAAAACCTGTATAAATTGTCTTTTACCAAACTTTGAGTCACATATTACGAAACGTAAGTGCTGTATTAGAAGAGCATCTCCAATAAAAGCACATGTAAGCCAACAGTTGCATTGTATATTGATTTATTAAAATATGTATTTTAACCAACCATAGAAACACCTCTGTCACTTACATAAGAGCATATTATTAAAACAATGTTCAGGTTTTTAGGTTGGTAAATTTGATATTTTCAAAGAAAAAAAACCTCTACTACATCCTTAAATGAGAAACAACAGTACCAAATCGGAAAAATATTACCGATATTTATACCTATCTTGACCAGATATAAGACCGATACTTATACCTAAAATCCAAAAAACGAGAACAATTTCAGGGGCAAGTCCCCATTAGGCAAGTTCTATGTATTGCCCCCGGGGATATTAATGCTATTGAGAGTTTGCAACGCAGGAAAACCAGCTTGATTACAGACATGAGCATTTTTTTCTTGTACAGAATGACTGTCCTACAGACGTGCACGTGCTCGTGGAGACATGGCTGAGACTTACAAATTACTTCATGAATTATATAACATTGATCACCCATGACTAGCTAGCTCCAGACAGAAATACCAATACGAGAGTCTATACATTGAAATTTTCAAAATACTACAGCCAGCAAGTAGCCGCTGCTTTTGCAAACAATGTAGTAATATTATAGTAACCCCTGGAAATCTTTACCTGAGCATAATGTTTCTGCTCCGTCAATGAGCTGTTTCAAATCTAGGCTTGATGCCCACTGGAAAGATGATATGCTCGCCCAGTCAGTGAACTAATAGTTTCAATATCAACTATAGGCTTTTGTGGTCTCACAACCTGAACAGTTACAATATTACATACAATTATTCCGTGACATTGACGTGATTTAATTTATTGTCACGTACGCGAGATTGACTGGTATATCTATAATATTTTCACTAACCCCACAATATTGGAAATTACAGCTGAATAAAATATTCTCTTCCAAATCACTAACACAAACGCGGAATGCTTGTAAAGTTTGTAAGTTTTTTTTACCATGCATTTACTCGTGTTAGCTGAAGCGCCCTCATATTTACCTTGAGTCAGTATCATCGAAAAACAAAGTAACAAATCACGCAAATCTATTGATGGCGTTATTCAAAATGGCAACCACTGGTTTTGATTTTTCGTTCCGACCAAAGCTCCGATCGATTTGTAATATTTTCATATGAATATCACTGTATATGAAGTATATGAACTCTCAAAATGATGCTTCCTATTCCAGTCTTCCTCTTTTTTGTCATAGTTCAGGGAAAACCCGAAAAACGGGCGCCAGGTAAGAGTATTTGTATTTATTTACGGGAATGTGTAGCGTATGAGTTTACGAGTTTGGAACTTGTTTTTGATGTGTACGCATACTGCATAATGAAATTGCCAGACCGTATCACTGTCGAGTCTATTTCATAGTAGTAGTTGTACGAAGCTTTGGCGGCACTAGCTAGTGTACCATGTGTTTCTCTAGAATTTGGACAGACTTCTTCTTAGCAGAAGTAGTTAGTGTCTTGTACTGTACTGTACAACAACAAGTATATTGTGATTCTTTACATGAAAACTCAGACAACCAACCAAATAAACTGGCAACGCGTCATTTTCTATTGAAGTAATGCGTGCCACGTTTGTTTAGGTTATCTTTTCTCATCATATCTAGTAAACGTTGCGGAGCAATGAGATCTTGCAAAATATCGGGAGATCTATTCATATTCCAACCAACTATTGCGAGATATCGCGAGACATAAACCAGATTACGCTGAGAGATATCATGTATATGACACTGGCTATCCCATGTTTTAGTACTTCTGAACACAAAAACAAAACTGTTTAACACAATGTCGTAAGATGGGTTGAAACGCAGCGATATGCCCTTCCCCCCAAAAAAATCACGGAAACCCTACGCAAAATCCACAACAACGAGAAATATTGCTTCAGAGTTGCTCGTTATATATTCAAAAACTATTTGAGGTATACACTAAGAAATTTAGTTACTTGTAACTTGCCTAAAAGGTAAAATTGTCCTGAACGCATCTCCTTTTGTTTTAAAAATGCCTGAATCTGTTTTACGAAAATATATGCAGTTTTCGAGGAAGTGCAAAGTGTGCAGAGTATCCGGTGTTCGGTAAACCTCAACGGTGTCTATATCAATACAACTGAGCGTGGCACGCATAGCAAATAGAATTAAGCCGACTAACACCTTAAACAATAGGCATTGCTAGTCTGTTTGCGTTGGTTGTCTGAGATACAAATTACGTACAAAATAAGAAACGAAAAGGTGAAAATCAATTAATGTAATGTTGTTCTATATTTTCAGTGTGATTTAGTTGTTTTTTATTTAAAATCTATTATTGTATTGTATGTGTAGTTAAATTGTAGTTTATTTTAAAAAGATTTAATGTGTTTGTTTATAATATTATTTTTTAATATTAGTTTTTATATTTTGTTTAACTTTACTGTATTTTATTTTATTTTATTTTATTTAATCTTATTTTATATGACCATAAAATAAACTCACTGTAGTTTATTTTAGTGTTGAAAAAATATTATTATTATATATTAACTTGATACTTGTAAACACAAATTTTCGGGGTTGCCTATTAATATTCTGAGTGACCACACTCTTATTAATCTTGAAGTTGGAAGAGTTTTGAGGAACCACACTCTTGAACTTAGAGTTGGGCACCACAAAAAAATTCTCCTGAATGACCGAATTGACCTATTTGATTTCCAAACCAGTTTTTGCCGTGTACCTTCCGTGTCCTTCTACTTTCTATGATGCAAACAAGCAGCCACTTGTACTATCAATTAACTTGGTGAGCTGTGCTCTGGATGTGCGAGTCAGCAATGCTAAATAGTTTTTTACTGAGATCTCGGTATTAATTGCACTTGATAATTAAATAGGTTTCGTGTTCTTCCTAGTTTTGGTTACAAATGTCACAAATCTATTAGTTCATTAATTTTGTGTGTGTGCATGTGCGTGTGTTAGTGTTTCTGTATAATGTTTTTTTTTCTTCTGCTTTAATTTTTCTTTAGTTGTAACCATCTCTATCCCTCAAGGGGGGGTTGGGGGTGTCAGTGTTATTGACTACCGGTATGTAAATCGTGCTGTGATTCATCATGGATGAGTTAACTAGTTTCTTTCAGCAGCTGTTTTGTTACGCTCCAGTTATTCTGGTTTACTCTATACAAAGGTTATAAAGTGTTTGAGTTATATTTCAAACCCTAAATCATGTCAAACTTAACTAAAACCATATACTGACCCCAACCCTGATTTTAATGACTTTAATTTGTACAGCACTACTGTATAATCCTAAAGTATTGCAATTGTGACTTGTTCAATTAAAAATGGCCATCATATGACAGAACTATCACCCACCCCTAAACTACATCAATGCCAGTTATAATCACACAAATTAGTTGTTGCCAATTTAGTACTTACTAGTATACAGATTCTGTGAAACATACTGTCCAATTGATTTAAAATAAGGGAGATAATTACAAAAGAAATTGTATCTAAAACTTCCACATGATAACATTTACATATATGCAGGGTATTCCTGGTAGAAATGATTGAATTTTGTCCTTGTATAAACACGGTTCCTCCACAAAGCACTGTAATGCAAACAGATTATTAAACCACAGAAGAAAGAAAGGAGAATAGAAGACTGGATGCTATTGTTATCGCTGTGTACTATGATTTTTTTTCTAATTTGTTAGCAAACAATCATTCCAATGTTGTTGTGTTTTTTATTTCTTATGATGATTGATTGAGTGAACAGACTGAAGTACATGTAACTCATTTTCACTATGCTGTTGGTGAGCATTGAAACAATAAAACACTGCCATCAAATCAAAGTAAAGTAACCATAGAATTATTTTTATTTTCTAGTTTCATGATCTAACCTAGATACTGATTATTATGAAACATTTCTTTTAACTTTTACCAGTACTGCAGTTCTCACAAAATATTTGCAAACTTTCTTGTGCAACATGAATCATTACAGTTTCTCGTCATAAGCTGTGTGATTTGATTTTTGACCTTAGCGCATGAAATATATGTTTATTCATTAAATAATAACTTGTCTATACAGTTAACACCGTATATGTTTTTCCGTCAACAAGTAACTTGTTCATACTGCATGTATACATTAATATTGTATATTTATCGGTTATACTCTTTTTTTCATTTTGCAAATTTATTAGACTCACATTCTGTTGCTCCAATATGTACCTCTAATGAACATTAGCATATTCTAAAAACTTGCATGAATATTTATTTATTGTGCCAAAACCTACAAGCAGCATTGAACCTTTTAAAAATGTGTATTTTGCTTTGCTTTCAATAAATGATTCTGACTCCTTTATAATTATTACGGTACATGACAACAACAGGTATTTATACATAATAGTTTAATGAATTTCCATTTGTTTTCCACAGAGATAGATACCTCAATCAGTGATGCACAGCTAATAATATGCATCATGAATGTCAATGCAACAGCCTCTACCATATCCTGGTCTTCACCGCTCACTGGAGATGCTATATGTGATATTAGTTATTGTCAAGTTTCGTACTGCAAATTGGAGTATGTCCATACGAATCGACCAACCAGCGGTTCTAACTATATTCATCCTAATGTGGTTCCGAATGTCCTCTATAAAGTAACTGGTGAATGTAAGGTGGATGATGAGGTAGTGTTGAAGGCACAGGAAATGACTTTACAATTAGGTATGTATCCTGTATGTTTTGGTATATTCATCAATTCAGTGTCATTCCTCAGTCGTGCAAGTGATTTATAATCATAGTTAGATCAATAACATTATATACATATGCATATCATTTCACACTCGTAATCTGACTGGTAGCCATTTTTAAGAACACATTTGCCTAATTTCAGTTACTTTAGGTTTTTGCAACCTTAAAGCGTGGGGGTTACCTGCGCATGCCTCAGATGGCTATAGCGTGTCATTGTTTACTAACAAGCGTTTACCCATGAGCCTTTGTGATTTAGTGCGTGTTGTTATCATCGCTTGGGACTCAATTCCCGCGCATGCGCAGGTGAAGACCCTCTTGCTTTGAATTTCTCAGATATTCTGATTTTATTCAAATAATGACAGTACATGCACTTATAAAGATAGATTTCAGATGTGCATAATTTTCATAATTTTTTTTTTTTTAAACCTGAATTTTTCTATAACATATTTCCAAACATTATAACTAATACCATGTGAAATATCAATGTAATGATTTTATTCCCAATGAATTCATATAATTTCAAAATGGTTCAAAAATTCTTGGCAGTTATAGTGTGTTAACCTTATTAATCAGTTGCAGCAATATGATTGGTTCATTGGTTCACCTTAACCCCTCACCAGGAACTGAACCCTAATTTTGTTCATACCTTTATTCCTGCAACTGAAAAATTTGCATTGGACTGCATGATTTGCTATCCCATCACCCTTCAGTGTTTTTGGCAATAACAATAAATCAAGTGCTATATTTAGCTTGTTGTCTTTTATAACCAACCCAGTATACAGGATGACTTGTTTCAACATA